TCCAGGCTCTGAGCCATCAGCCCAGAGCCCGACGCGGGGCTCGAACTCACGGACCGCGAGATCGTGACCTGGCTGAAGTCGGACGCTTAACCGACTGCGCCACCCAGGCGCCCCGTGCACTGTGCTTTTAAAGTCCCCAGAACCTGCAGGTTCTTACTCAGCCTTGTCTGCAGTCTGGATCTTCCATTGCCTAGGCTTTACGTATTTCATGACTTCTAGAAAATGGCTGTAACCGTGCCTGACTTGAGTGCGGCTGCTGTTTGCCTCTCTTCCCAGGATGGAGATCTCTAAGGGGCCTGATGAGACACTCTTAACTCCTGAAAACTAGTGCCCCATTTACCTGTATGCCTGGAGCCCATCCTCCCCTTGGCCGTGGTGGTGCCCATAGAGACGGTCTTCGTTTGCATTAATCATTTTCATGCGCTTTGCACTCAGCTACACTGGTATTCAGAGAAAAATGCTGCCATGACAACTGCCACAACAGATGGTATTTGATCAGTCTCTAAGCTACCAAGGAGATCTACAGCAGTTCTTTCGAGCTTTGCATATTTTACTTTATCACGAGACCCAGTCCAGCCTTAATCATGGCTGAAATGCAAAGTTTTCCATTTGCCTTCTGTCCCTCCCCCTTGTCTTTCCAGTTGTTTGGCATTTGTTTGGACTTTCCTTGCTCTCTGGCTGGCCTGGGTGGAGATGTGCTCTTGGAAGTGGGAAACAAAGACCACAACAGACACAGAGCATGGAAGTTGCCTTGCATGTCTCCAGTTCCAAGGTGGTTGAGAAACGATTCACCTTTTGGGGTGGAGATACCAGCTGAGACGGCAAGAGAGCCTCCATGGCAGCCTTTCTCTCCCAGATCTTCACAGATGCACATGGTGGAGGCCCTGTGTGGCCCCAAACAAAGGGAGGACTGGGAAATGCATCTTAGTCTTGTTTTTTCCCTTTACTCCACACGTGCCTTATCCAGCCCCTTTCTGCTCCCCGGGTCTCCAAGTAACATTGTGGTCCCACTTCTGGGCTTCCCCGCTCCACCCCAGCTGATGCTCCAAACTCCAGGAACTCCATCTCAGAGCTCCTGGACCCATTTCTACGGTAGCAACTATGACAGCCTTCTCACCCGGTGTGAAGTGCAGCTTTCCACCCCTGCTCAGCAACATTGGAATGTCCGGCTTTGCAAAGATTTTTTTTTGGCTAATTTTGGAAAGTAGTTTATATTGGCTGCTATGTGTTAATGAACAACTTGGGTTGTATTTACATACTTTGCTGGTTAAGAGCCTTTCCCATCACTCTGTATCCCAACTTTAACCAGATCTGCCTCTCACACTGCAGGTCTGGATTGCACATGAGCCATGAGCCTCATTAAAGATGGGCATGCGGACACCCTTGTGCTATGAGTGCCCGGGATATGCCCCTTACCTGGTGTGGTGGCAGTTTACAGTTTCAACAGGGCAGGAGAATGAATTGTTTACCTGTATGGTACTGGAAGAAAACCTTAAGGTGAATTTTAATCACAAGAGAGGCTGGATCAAAGAAACATTCTCCCCTTCTGATCTCCTTCCAAGTGAAGCCAGGAGGTTGGAATGCACATCTGACCCTATTCTGCTTCCCAGCCCTGCTCTCTTCCTGGGGTGCAGATGAAAAGAGCGTGGGTCTCAGCAGCCTTGTCAGGAGTGATTTTTAACCTTAACAGAACATTATTAAAGAGTGGATTTGAGGCTTGAGGAATGTTTTTTGAACTCCTTCTGTGAGCAGAGAAATCGTAGTGGAGGGGGAACAAATTCAAGGCGCTTGATGAGCTTATGAATCGTCTTTTAAATGATGACCCGAGTTCTTATTTTTACTTTTAACATATTCCAGGAGTGCAACTCAGCCATCCAAATATTGCTCCCTGTTTTATCTCCTCTTTAGGAGAAAGCATTCTTGATGACCTTAAGCCTTCTCTCTTCGCCTAATGAAGATCCTGGTGCTTCCTTTGTTCATATGCTCTGATTCTCCCGGAGATGGATGTGAGTTGGGGGTGCGTTGGTTGGCCCTCTGGACCCTAAAGAGAAGGGTTATGTAAATGTGGGCTTCTGAACAGGGAGGAGGACTCTGCACCAACATGGTGAGAAGAATCGGACACAGTGCCTGGAACAGAGCAGACATCTACACAATTAATTACATTGATTGACGAAAATCCTATAATGCAGGTTTCTCATCCCTAGCACTATTGACATTTTGGGTAGGATTTCCTGTTATGGGGGGACAGTCCTGTGCATTGTAGGATGTTTAGTAACCTCCTTGGCCTAACCCGCTAGACACCAGTGGCACCCCCACATCGTGATAACAGAATGTAGGCAGATGCCCCCTGGGGATGGCGAAACTATGGCCCCTTCTCTCCCACTCTCTCTGCCCTGTAGAGAACTGATCTAAATTATGAAATCTTTGAAAGCATGATAGGGATTTTCAAAAGCAACAGGAGGAAAAAGTAGTCTAGGTAACCTATTTAAACTTCTTCATTCCTTTACTAGAACTTAAATTAAAAGAAAGCCCAGTAGATGGCCAAATCGAAATGAACCAAGTGTTAGCCTTGCAGGAAGAAATGACCATGTACTTTAAGTGATAAATGTGTTGAATTGCTCCGTGAATGTGCCAAGTAAATGTGCTTTATGCCCTTTGGAAGGGAATTTCTATAGAATTACAGTGTTCTAGGAGAGTGGTGCTTTTCTTGAATATGTTGGTGGGTGTCTTTTTTTTTTTTTTCTTTTTAATCAATGTCACTGTGCTGCACTGTTCTTGAAAACCTTAACCTGCCCATGCCTGCATACCTGTGCTTGCCAGGATAAATACCAAGTGTACTATTTTTTATTTTACATTAACAGATTCAGCAGTGGTCAGCTTTCTCTTTTTCGCGTTTTCTGTGGGGACCTAATTGCCAAAGCCTCACTAGTCCCCCGTGTGCAAGATCTGAAGAAATAGGGTAGGATCATTCAAAGGAAAAAGGGGCAGAAGAATTTTATAGTTCTATCATGATTTAAATATCCGTGCCTCTTTGTGGGGGCGACGAATCCTCTGGTGTGGTTTTGGTAGATTACCTTTGTGTACACTTGAGGAATTAAGGGCCGATGGTTATTTTTAGCAAAAGCAGGGTTTTGTAATGGGGAAAGAGCATTTAGAGAGAGAATTTTCATTAGTTACAAATGTAAGCAGATGCCTCCAGAACACCTTCCACGGGGCCCTCCTGGCCATTCTCTTCCTTCTTTCCCCTTCCTCTTCCCTCTAAGATAGTAGCACCTGGTTGTCACTGCCGTCGCTCTGATGTGGAAGGAAGGAAGAGTTAAAAGCAACCCCCCTTTGCACTCGCCTTGGTAAGAAATGGCTTTCTGCAGTGGCGACAGGCCTTGCTCATAGCATCAGCGTTGACTTAGTTTGCAGGAAATTGCATTTTGCCCCTTTGCCTGGAGATAAAACACCTCCCAGATGAGGATCTTTGAGGGGAGAGCTGGAGGCTGGGAGGGAGTTGGGAACCTGTGCTAAAAGCTGCAAGGTTGGGGGTGTGTGGGTGGCTCAGTCTGTTAACCATCCAATTCTTGATTTTGGCTCAGGCCATGATCTCCTCCTGGTTCATGAGATTGAGCCCTGCATGGAGCTCTGTGCTGACAGTATGAAGCCGGCTTGGGATTTTCTTTCTCCTTCTCTCTCTCTCTGCCCCTCCCCTGCTTCACTCGCTCTCAAAATAAATAAACTTAAAAAAAAAAAAAAAGGATAGAGCAATCTCAGGCTCCGGGTGTCCTGGAGTCTGTAAAACCAGGGCAGTTTTATTCAGGTGGCCCATAGCTTAATGGAGTGCTCGGAAGGTCTGCAGACGAGGACCAGAGAAGGAAGATGCCAGACGTGCATTTCGGGAAGACTGCCTTGGAGCCCTACTCTACTCGTGAGATCTCTTGCACTGTAGACGCTTAGCTCTGTGCCTGGTGAAATAGCCTTCGGAATACCACTTGGGGGTGGGGGGAGTGGTCACAGGTACACTGTGAAAGATGGTCATTTATTTGAGATCCACTTTATGGGTTAAACACCTATTTGAGTTCATAAGAATGCTGATAGAGCCCAGGAAGTCGGGGGGCCGGGCGGGGGGGGCTGTGGTGAGGAGGCTCTCCGTTGTGGATTGCAAACTGCAGTTAGTTCAAAGATCCTTGTGCCAAGTCAAAAGCAGTTTCTTTTATTTATGGTCACCATTGACGTTAATCGAGCCTGAACATTTTCCTGTAGACTAAAAAATCATTAGCCCTGACAACTGAAGTCAAATCAGACCTTTGGGAATGACCTAATTGTTCTTTCCCGAGGGCTGGATGTTAGCTTGCCCTTGGCCGTGGCATCAGCCCTGCCAGGCCTGGGAGGCCTCCCAGACTGTGGCAGGTGGGTTCCTTCTTGTCACAGAAAACACAAAGAAGGACAGAGGGGCTCGTTCTGTCACAGCCCCCCCTCGTCATCTGCAGTGCCTGCCGTCCTGAGAATTTTGTGAGTAAACGCAGCCCAGGGCCCTGCCGAAACTCCCGTTCACTGTTTTCCCGTTTGACAGTGTGCCGCCTCCGTGCTGGAAATTCCTCCCAGCTGCTGGTGGACGGGTGGGTCCGGTATCCCCCCTTCGTCCCCACTCCGCTTTTCTGGCAGCTGCTCAAATTTTCGGGATAGCTGTAGTGACAGTGGTGAACGTAGGGACTCATTCCGCCCTGGTTATTTTTGGCAGCCCTGAGCAAGCCAGGGCCTCGACTTCTGGAGCTGTGTGGTTGGGATATTAGGTAACTTTTTCCTGTGCAAGTACAGACAAAGAGCCCTGACCCGCACCCGTCCCTCCGTCCGTCCGTTCATCTGCCGTTTCCGAGTCGTTTTTGCTTGTTGTGAATCTTTGCAAATGCACCATGAACCCTCTCTCTGACATAGCCCTTTGTTCCTGATAAAAGATGGCTCTGGAGAAGGCTAAACGTTGATTGAGTGTATGTCGTTCTTTTTTTTCCCCCTAGATTGAAAACATAGATGCCTGCTTGAATTTCCTGGCAGCTAAGGGAATAAACATCCAGGGGCTGTCTGCAGAAGGTGAGTCAGAGCGCTGGTTCTAAAGCTGCCTTCTCATCGTTAGAAGCGCCCACCTGTTACTTAACTGATGCCTTGAATACAGCTCAGCCCAGGGGTGCTTGTGGGCTCTTCTGCTTTTGTTTTCCTGTTGGTTTTAAGGCAGCGCAATGCTTGTCTAGACCGGAGGATGCCAGCTTTTTGACACATCCCAAATCACTCCAGGAACGTAGAGCCCACCATGCTGGCCGTGTCTGCCACACCGAGCGGGTACCAGCGGTGGAGCTGCTTCTCTGGAGAAGGGCTTAATCAAACAATACTGATCCGATTCACCCGGCTAGCAATTCAGTTAATTATCAAGCCAGGCCTTATCTGTGGGAGAGAGAACACTTAGCCACAGCACATATTTAAGTTGTACAGTTCCCAGGGAAAAACGCCCAATCCTTATCTCTGACTTTTATTAGAAGCAGCAGCAGCACTTTTCCTAGCTCAAAGAAAACCAAACCCCAAACACGTGATGCGTTAATGAGATGCTACGTTTTGACATCCCGATTAGTTTTTAATTAACTCCAATTGGGTGGCTAATTAGCACATTAGCTTGTGCTGGTGGTTTGCTATTCAATTAGGTATCGGTCTGGAGATGGCTGGTCCGAATTCTCAGCCGCCTCAGGCAACATCTCGCCCTGGAATCTTTTGCTCTCTCCTGTTTGTAAATACAAGCAGCTGCCAGCTCAGAAGCTGCCACAGGCCCCGGCATCCTCCCAAACTCCTTAGGCTGCACCTGCCTCCAGTTTTCCCAGAACAGGTAAAGCAGTTTGGGCTTCAGATGACACCACCTTTTCCCTAGCAAGGTTGCTGTTTGAAAAGATGCCTGGTAGCATCGACTCCGGTGGTCAGGGTGGGGAGGGGGGCGGGCAGTGAGGAAGGAAGCAGCCCAGTGGAGCAGGTAAGTTTGCCAGCGTGATCTGTTTGGGGCCCGTTCCTTGTCTTTCTTTGCCCTGCGGTGCAAGCTTGGTTTTCCCGGCTGTTGGAACTGTAGCCTCTTCCGGTATTGGGGCCGGGTGGCTACTCTTGGAGCCTTGTGGGCTCGTCGTCGTTTCTGAACGTGACCTCTCCTATGCTGGGCCTGCCCCAGGTCAGGGATGGACACACTCCTTCCAGAGGTCTCCATTGCTGCTGCTGGGTGGTCAGCACCAATCCCAACTCTGGCAGGGGTGGGGTGGTTGGAGGGTTCCTTCTCCCTGGGGAATGAGCTCTCCTCTGTGGGGAGGAGCTCCGGGCTGAATGAGTCTGGGCTTTGCGACACAAGTTGCCAGGGCGTGGGGGTGTTGATGTTGGTGTGGTGTTTCCATGGGTAAGTACAGAGATGCAAATTGCCTTTCCAAGGAATATCACTTCCTTCTGGTTCAGAGTTCTTGTGCTAGCTGGTGGGTGTCTGGAACACACTCTTCATAGTTTGTGGAAGGAGTTGGACCCCGGGCCTCTGCCCACCGGCAGAGCATCAGCAGGGAGTTTCAGAGTCCTGCTCGGCAGAAAGGGCTCGAGGCAGTGGGGGAGGGGGTGGACTCTGTCTCCCGTGGCCTGGAGGTGACAGCCGGCCATCTATCTCTGCCTTGTCCTGCTGCCTTGTTTGTCCCTCTGCACCATCCTCTTTATACCTTCAGGCATAGATTATCTATTTCACATACTTGCTGAGTAAACAGGTGCTCCCAAAGCCTGTGCTCCCAAGGCTTTTCGATGCAGCAGCTCCAGCATTCACAACTGAACTGGGAAACCTTGGGGAAACCTTGGCTTAAAGCGGTTGCAGGTGACAACCTCAAGGCCTGTAGCTAGTGAGCGGAAGACCGGGTGTGAGCCCAGGTCTGTGTGATTTCAGAACTCCTATTCATGGTGTCCTTTGAGATAGCAGATGGGTAAAGTCTAGGCATGTTGTGTACAGGTGAAAGAAATCAGAAAAGATTTAGAACTTCGTAGGCTGGAACATCAGAAGATACTGTGCAGCCCACAGAGGCTGAGTATCATTCAGATACTCTGCCCCCGCCTTGTCCACGTTAGGTTGTGACCCTTGGGGGTCTCTGAGCCTAGAAGAGCACAGTATAACCCGTGTGCTGAGGTATCAGTCATTGGGGCATACCTGTGAAGTGGGTTCATGGTGTTTCAGTAACCGCCCCCAGCTGTGTGATGTCGAACCCCCCCCCCCCCAACTTTCCTGCTGTCGAGACTCACTTGCTGATGTCTTGGCCAGAATACGTAACTTGTCAGTCATGGTTAGTTATTAGAACAGTTTTATGTCAGCGCTTATGACTCTTTTGTTTGTTTCTAAACTTTAATTTCAGACTCAAAGCTCTTTTTTCACCCCTGTGCCCCAGGGCAAGTGGGTTTAGAAGATTGAAGAGTGATGAGGGCCTAATGACTTCTTTGCCTCCCCTCCTTCCTTCGCCTGAGCCTCCAGGATGGGACAGAGAGAGCAGGCAGAATTCTGCTGAAGTTGCTGCCGTTTTCTTGGGTGGCCATGATTGCCACTCTCCCCACGTGGGAATCTCTGCATGCCCCACTAACCATGGACTTGATCCCCTGCTGCTCCCAGGACATTAGGAGCCTTTCTTGAGATTTGCCCGGCAATTCTGGCTCACTCTCAATGGGTAGCATTTATGTTCTATCCCCCTGATTCAGGCCTTCATTGTCCCCACCTAAGGTGGTGTCAGTGAGACCGTAGACCTCAGTCTCATCAGCCCTGTATTCTGCACTGTAGAACCGGCAGGAAGGCGTGGACACCATCTTCCACTTGCAGTAGGTGGAACCGTCTTTCTATCACCTGGAAGACCCCACCATACACTTTCTCTCCCAACTCTTTCATCCCCAACTTAGCGGCCAAGAGGCAGGTCTGCCAAGTCTGTGCTGAGTAGATGTCCAATTGGGGACCGGAATGCAGCACCCGACTTGGAGTAATTTTCTTGGTGCCTCCTTTGTCTTCAAGGAGCACAGGGACCCCACCTTCTTGTTCTTCGGTGAGGGGAGGAAATGACCGGTCTCTGTGATCATCAGACATTACAACCCTCCCCCACTCTGTGATACTTTCTCATCTGGATCTTGGGGTTTTTGTTTTTGTTGTTTTTTTGTTTTTGTTTGTCCATCGAGGCATTTTATTTGCACATATATATTACATCCTTAGAAAAAGAATCCCAGGATTTTCCCTCCTGTATTTTCATCTTGCTTCTTCCTGGTCCGTGATGCCCAGTGAGATGGTCAGTATCACGAAACCAAACTGGTGGGACAGAAGCAGATTATTCTGCCATTTTTCTAGATCTTTAAGTTGCACATCCAGTTTGGGGCCATCACTCCACTCTTGTTTAACCTGCGTGTGAGGTTCACAGCCATTTCTCCAGCTCTGTGATCATCAACGATTTGAAATTGGCCAACGCAACCGTGCTTCATCATCAACCGTGTTTGTCAGCTGGACGATGACTTTGGAGCATGGCGCAATAAGAACCTGGCATCTGCCTCTCTCTTCAGCATTGTTAACGTTCTTGAGAACATCTGCCAGGACATTAATGCATGCCATGTGGCAGCACGGAAACATGGCAGGAGTCCTCGAGATCTTCTTACACTGACTCTTGGGGTTGGGCGATGATCATGGTGTTTGGTAGTAAGACTGATTCTGGACTCATGCAGTCTTGTGGGCAGGTAACTGGCCCCAACTTTTGTCAGCTCCTTAAACTTACAAAGCAAGGGTACTTAGAGACTTTTATCCTCAAATGGGCCTTATTTACAATTTGAGGATTACAGGAAACCTCACTCGACATACTGTTAAATTATAGGAATAGAAGCCATTTGTGGAGAACCCACCATGTATCAGTCGCTGAGCTAAGTGCTGTGTACATGTTGTATATCTTTTTTTAATTCCCTCAGCAACGTTTTGAAATCAATAATCGTACTATCCCCATCATCTACAGATGAGGAAACTAAGGCCCAGAGAGATTGAAGTTCCACGTGGGAAAAGGGAGGCCCACTTAGGAGTGACTAAGCTACTCACCTCAGTTTCAGAGACCTGGTATTTTCTGCTACTGCCCACTGCCCACACTTCTAACCACCTGCATAATTAACTAGAAAAGCATTATACTGTGTAAAGAAATAATGCAGTTGTAATGCTTTTTGTTTTCCTTTTGAAGACTATTGAGTGCCCCGAGGCTCCTCCTCTGATGAGAACCATCAGTGGTTGGAAAGCTTGGAAAGCGGTTGGAAAGGAGGTACTTCTCCGCCCTTTTCCAGTGACTAAAGCAGGGTTTGGAACCCCGGGAGGGTTTAGGTACCTGTCCTTGAAACATCGCAGCAGACCATGCCCTGCCCCAGCCTGCCTGTTAGAGGACCACAGAGAGCTTGGTTCCAGAGTAGATCCCCATGGAGACACTGCTGGTTTGGAGCACTTCCCCTGGACTAGGCCCTCCTACCCCCTCTGTGTTCCAGAAGGTTGGGCCCATCTGTTTGCTCTTGGAAACCTGTTGGAATCCTGTGAGCTTGGGCCTCACCCTAAGCTGGGTGATGTTCAAGATCCCTTGAACCCCTCCCCAGCACACACTCCACCTGTCATGACTGTCTGTAAACCCATCCTGTGAGGAAGGATGGCCTTTATCCTTAGGAGTTTTGACAACACCTGGCCCGGAGCCCATCCTCCTATCACGGAGAAGGTCTGGGGATGAGGCATATCCTATTTAGTTCAGCAAACGTTTGCTGGGCACATCCTGTATGCCAGGCATAGGGTCAGTCGTACAGAATGAACTTTAATTTCAATTAGGAGAGTTGTGCTAATGGTACGTTCAAGAGCTGAGCATTACGTGCACAGTAGTGCCCAAAGAAGGGCAGTGATTAGCTCTCTGAGGTGGTCAGGGGGCTTTACAAGGCAGTGGCATTAACCCCTGGGCTTTACAGGATAAATAGGCATTCACCAGACAGGAAAGGCAGGTAGAGGGAAATCGAGACAGAAGACGAAGCATGAGTGATATGACAGGAGCAAAGACTAGCTCTTTATCAGCCTTGTGGAGTAGAGAGACAGAGGCAGGAAGATCCTTCCAGGCGCCTCCAGGAAGGAGTGTATGCTTTTGGAGTGAAATTGCTTGCTGACTTGATGAGCTCAGACCCGGTTTGGCCAGAAACCTAGATGCTGAGCTTGTCCCCCTTTTAATCTGAGCCAGAGAGCAAGCAGAAGGTCTTTCTGGACCGTTAGGAGAAAAGCAGCAGGTTGATTGTTTCCGTTTCCTCCTACCCACATCACCTGTTTGGCAGTGAGTGGGACCGATTGTGTCACTCACCCCCTCGTCCCACTTCCCCGGTCAGGAAGCCTATGACTGCCTCGGTGAGCAGTACACGGGAGGGCTGCAGGAATCGGGTGGGAAGTTATGTGGTGAATGTCGGTTATGCAGATGGCCGCAGGATCCACGTCCCGAATCAGCTGGGTGAGCCTTTAACAGCCCTGTGGTTTAAGGGAACTGGTTAGGAATTCTGACTCTGCGGTCTGGTCCAAGGTAGCCCTCCCTTTGGCTCCCAATCAGTCTCTTTTTTTCCAAAGCAGATTTCTTTGTATTAGAGTATTCCAGTGTTTGTGCCTTTGTAAACCAGGCCTGAGATTTCTTTTAAATAATGTTGCAAGCAGAGAACTCTGTTCTTCCTACCCTTTCCTGCCCAACATCTCCTGCCACATCTGTGCAGATTCGCACCAGCCGGGGGGAGCAAAGAAATCAGCCAGTGCCCAAGGGAATTAAGAGTCAAGGCGATACTGAATCCTAATGGAAATGGAAAAATGGTCTGTGCAGTTTATTCATTAGACATGGGCGTGGCCACAAGCAGAGAAATGCAGTCAGGGTTCTCATGCTGGTTTAGATACTAGCTAGCTAGTGTCAATTCTAGCTAGGTCTACGGGTTGGTTTTCTTCTTTTCTTTCTCTCTCTAGAAATCAAGAGAGTAAGGATAGTTGATCAGACACAAAATGATACTCTTTTTCCAAACCTTGGGAAATGTCAGGAGGGAAACATTTTTGTGGGCTGATGGAGTTTTTTAGACTGCCAGTGCAGCCGGCTTACTTAGGAGGCCTCCTAGAACACAGACACATGCCACTTGGAAATGTGGAAAGGATACAATTCTAGCTATTTTGGATACTGTCTGTTATAGACCACCCATGGCATAAACTGTGTGGCTTCCAACCCCAAACAGAGCATTTACCACTCTCTAGTTTTTGTGCTCTGAAAAGAAAATTACAGTCCAGACGTCCACCAACTGGTGAACGGATAAACACGGCGTGGTACATCCATACAATAGGGTATTACTCAGCAATGCAAAGAAACAAGCCAGTGAGAACTGCTCTAACACGGAGCAACCTTCAAAACGTGCTAAGTTGAAAGAAGCTGCGTGCAAAGGGCTACATGTTACATGGTTCCGTTTATAGGGAATGTCTAAAAGAGCCCAACCTTGTAGAAACAGAAAGCAGATTCAACATCACCTGGGAATGGGTTTGGGAGTTGATTGCAGGTAAGCATGAGGACCCTTTTCAGGGTGACGTAAATAGCGTAAGATTAGAATTTACTGAAAATCATTCTACACTTTTATGGATGCAAATTACGCTTCGGTAAGGCCGTTTAAAGAACCGGAAGCTCGCCATCGACTTTTCTCTAGTAGGAGATTATTCACGATTAATTTCCTTCTTGAAGCCTGTCACTGCGGCATCAAGGGGGGAGGAGCAGGGAGGATGGACAGCTTCGTAGGCTTCCTTTAGGGGCAGAGCCCGGTGGTGGGTTCTGAGGAGACTAGAGGTAGAGTGGCTATATTTTTGGAAAAGGAGAAGTAGAGTCAGGCAGTGTCCTGGGTGTTTTGTACTCATTTCTCCATTTAACGTCCACTTAAGTCTCCTAACCACCCTGTGTAAAAGGTGCAGTGGGGCCTATGCCCATTTTAAAGATAAAGAGTGAGGCTCAGAGAGCTTAAGTCTTCCGAAAACTCAGTCTGTACGTGAACCGTAGACGTTCCAACCCAGGTTTTCCTGGCTCTAGAAAGAAACCCGTGATCTTTGTAATAAAATGCTCCCTCCTAAGAAGTATATTTGCAGGAGAACTGTGCTCTTTGACAGAACGTTCGAGGGAAAAATGCTGAGATACGAATAGAAAGTGACTTCGCAACCACAGTAGGTAGAGAATATGACAGAGCTGTCTCCGTTTGCCCTGGGTTGGGCTGGTCTGTTATGAGGTGCTCATGTGGACATGCCTGCCTCTTGCAAGGGACAAACTATCAGCCCCGGGATGTGCTGAATTTTTAGTTCCTCCCTCCCTCCTTTGTTTTTCCTTCTATGGGTCAAAAAAAAAAAAAAATATTGTGGAATGTTTGGCACATTCCATAATAGAACACTTACAGAAGAATAAAGAATACTTAGATGCCCACCAGCTAGCTTAATAAATAAAACATTAGCCGGTGCACTTTTAAATTTACCACATATGATGGGTATACAAGTAAGCCAAGTTACACAGTGTTGGGAGACTGGGCTTTGTGCTGAAAAAACTAGATTCAAATCGCAAACCCCAGCTCCAGCGTTTATTCCCTCGGAGAGGTCATAAGGTTTTATGAGCCTCTGTTTCTCTTATAAAGGGGAACAATAATATTCACTCCCCAGGTTGTAGGGATTGAGTGAACTCATGTACGTAAAGAGCTTAACCTGATACGTACTAATTAGTAGCAGTCCTTGTTATTACAAACCTAATAACGTGACAATTATAAAAGGCACTAAAAGCAAGTCTTACATAGATTTCACCAATCTCCATGATGAGCTCTACCTTCCCCCTCCCTTGAATTTGATTTTGAGGGGAAATTATTTCCCAACTCTCATCAGTGCCCAGCTGGGTGACCACGGGAGTGTCACTTCACCCTCCAGAGACAACTGATTCATGCCGTCCAAACCTCACATTCTGTGACCCTGATGTGTTTGTAGGAACATTTAGAAGCAGAAACCGAACAAGCCGCAAGGGGTGTGCGTGCTGCTTTTTTTGGTTTCCTTAGGATGGAGAAGGGAACAGCACAGAAGGGTTAGAGCTGAACTACTTTCAGAAACGGGGGGTGCGGGGGGAGCTCACTCAGATCTATGGGGCCTTCTCCCCATATTGCACGTGTCAGTTTATAAGCCTCCTCCTTGGCCAGATCAATCCTGGCTTACACCTGTGCTGACACAATTAAAAGCTTCCCCCTTTCACTCTCAAAAACTATCATGGATTGCATGGTAAGTTATAAGATGACCTTAGTAAAGCCACGTCTAAGGCCTATGGATTGGGACCTGTATGTCAATCTCCTGTAGGATTCTGGGAGCTCCAGTTATGCGTAACCAAGACCAGTGAAGGACTTCACTGTTGGCGGCTTGCTTTCACAGATACGCTCTTACTGGATTCGAGAGCAACCTTGTGTGATGGGGCAAGCTGCTGAATAAGGCCATAAGGCCATAAGGCCAGCGAGGCCCAGGGATGAAGTGACTTCCCAGGGTTGCACAGCTAGTACATACTGGAGTCCAGACTGGAACCCACGTCTTTGCATCATCAGTTGCAATCTCTGTGTCTTCACAGTCTGGCAGTCATTCAGCCTGGACTCATCATCACGCCCAGGGCACTGGCAGGCACGCAGGGAATGGGCTTGTTTCTGAAAGGACCCCATTCATACCCTCTGCCCGGCAACTGCTGCTGGAGGAAACCTGTGCTCCTTTATCAGTGGTCTCTTCCTCGCCTGGGCCTAACCTGGACGTGGGCATTCCCCAAACAGGAGATACTCTTCTTCCTCCACCCCCCTGACCAGTTGAGAGAAGGAAATTGAGCCTTAGGTTGACACAAAGCAGAGGGAGCCCCTAAGATGCCTTCTTCCTGTCCCTCAGGCTGGGTGGCCCTATTACCTCACCCTCAGGATCAGTTCAGACCCCAGCCATTGGATCTGGTGTTAAGAGAACATAAAAGGAGGGATTCCCCAAGGAGAAACACCCTCGACCCATAGCTTCTGCCTGTGAATAAATATTTTATTTCTTCTCTGCAGCTTTTTATGCATGCCTTGAGGCAAATGCATTTTAACATCTAAAAAGTCCTGCCTGGAATAAAAATGTTCTCACCCCCACTCTGCTTTCATTTTTTTTTAATACATTATCTTTTGTGTGCGTTCTCTGTGAAAGCAAGTCCTATCCCCCACCCGTGCGAAATTAAAGTTAGTGATTCAGTGGACAAGAGGGACACAGAGCCGTGTGTCCGGGGGCAGGGCGGTCGGGGAGAGCAGAGGGAGGATGGTGGGGGGGGGGGTGCGGGCAGGAGCCGCTTGGCACTCACACGTGGCTGACGGCACAGAGCACAGACTTGGCTGAGCTCTCGAGTGGAGACCCATGAATCTCCCCCAGCGCCCGAGAGCACCTCTGTCCCGGATTGGTTGCTTTGCCTGAGAACAAGCACAGTCTTGCTCGGGACTCGGACTTTTTTTGGCTGTGTCCTTGCTGAGAATTTCCTCCTGGCACTTGCCAGACATCCAGCTGAAACTTGCCTGGCGTATCCGCTCTAATCCCAGTGGGGGAGAGGGAGCTAATTTCTTTGTGGCTGAGGCCCGACTCTGATCGACGGTGATGGCGATGAAGTGTGCAGGAACTCGGTCCTATCCTCGAGAAGCTAGGCTCGTGAGCAAGAAAGGGCTCCCAGGATGGGACTCCTTCTCTAAAAGAATTTCTTTATTGTCTTGCAGAAATCAGGAATGGCAACCTCAAGGCCATCCTAGGCCTCTTCTTCAGCCTGTCCCGGTACAAACAGCAGCAGCAGCAGCCCCAGAAGCAGCACCTCCCTGCTCCACTGCCGCCTGCCGCGTCCCAGGCGGCCGGGGCCCCCTCCCAGTGCCAGGCTGGCACTCTTCAGCAACAGGTGCCGGCCACTCCCCAAGCCCCGGGCCAGCCTCTCCAGCCAGCGCCACATCAGCAGTCAAAAGCACCAGCTGAAATGCAGTCCAGGTGGGGGCTCCTCGCCAACGGATAATTCTGTTTTTCGTGGGTCATCCTCCACACTGGCCGAATGCTAGCCTAGGCGAATGCCTTTTCGTTTGGGCCTCTTCAGGGCTGAGAACTACTGGTGGCGGGGGATTAGCATGACCTTGAAATAGATGCGGCGGGCTGCCTCCTGTGCCTGGCGGAGATGTGTGCTTTTATAGGTCACGATGGCCAGCGGCCAGAGCTAATTAGCTGCTCTGGCCTATCATGCACATGCTCCTGTGCAAGAAACGGCCCCGAAAATAGACTTCAGACTTGCTTTGCGTGTTTGCCTACAGGCTGGGTATTCGATGTCATACGTGTGAGTCCGTTTTACTTAGCGGAGGCTAGAGTTCTGCAGCAGACGCCTCTGCTTCACCAGAGAAGAGATAGCAAGAACACAGAAGGAAGATGGCAGATGCCTAGCAAAGAAGGGGGCAGCCGCCTTCCCCGAGAGGGCCCGCAACTGGGTTCTGTTAACCTTAAAGGGCTGGCAGCAGCCTCAGGGGTGGTCCTCAGTGTTACAGGATTAGGGCTCAAGTTTGGTTGATGCTCCCAGGGGGACCGATGCTTGCTAGCGGGACTTGCTGTAGGGTGACGTGTAAGCAGAGCATCAGGGTACTTACGTCCACTGTGTTACAGGGGGCATAGGTGTATTCCTGAACAGCTCTGCAGAAGATCGCCTTGTAAAACCTGCATTTTAATGGCAGGGGCGTGGGGGAAGGAGGGGATTAGGAACTAGAAAGATTTTTTTTTAATGTTTGTGTATTTATTTCTAACTTTATTTTGAGAAGAGGGAGAGAAAGCCTGCATGTGTGAGGAGGGGAGGGGCAGAGAGAGAGAGAACCCCAAGCAGGCTCTGCCCTATCAGTGAAGAGCCCAATGTGGGGCTCAAACCCACAAACCATGAGATCATGACCTGAGCTGAAGAGTCAGACGCTTCACTGACTGAGCCACCCAGGCACCCCTATTTATTTATTTTTGGGAGAGAGGAAGCAGGGGAGGGGCAGAGAGAGGGGGAGAGAGAGAATCCCAAGCAGGTTCTACACTGTAAGCTCAGAGCCTGATGTGGGACTTGAACTCAGGACCTGTGAGATCTTGACCTGAGCTGAAATCAACAGTCCAGGGCTTAACCAACTGAGCCACCAGCTGCCCCAGGAACTAGAAAGTTTTTGACTCCTAATCAAAACTGTGTGGAGAAAGGTCCACAGTAGTTGTCGTTTAAAGCTGTACACCTTTTGTTATCAAACCTGGATGTCACTAATGAAATCGATTGCTTGATTTCATTTACTATGTGCTAAAGAGTAATGGCTTTTCCTTTCCAGGCCCCCAAAGCACCAGCGTTAATAATCACTAGGCTTAGCAGCCCATTGTAGTTGGGCAAAGCACAGAGTGGTTCACACAAGACAGGTGCCTTATAGATGGTTGCGGCATCTTCCTCCCCGTGAGAAGGGCTATTTCCCATTCATGATGGTGTTAAAACCAACATGATGGATGTGCTGTCCATCAGATCCCCTAATTAATTGTCTAATTATATCCAATTTACGTTATGGAAATTTGTAGACTAGCAGAAATGCCTGGACTAGTGGTGAAGAACAGCCAGCCAGGCAGCAAGCCTTGGCACCCCTCCCCTGAAGAACCACCAGAGTGAGAGCCACTCTCTGATCAGAGGTCCCTGATGGCCCTGGGTGATTGAATGATCAGGGTATCATTTCCCACACTATGTTCTACAGAGTGGTTATTCCCTTGACGGTAACTTGCTAGGGAAGGGGTTTCATAGGGGGAAAAGTTGGTAAATAATCTGGGTTGGGTTGTTAGAACTGTTCATACAGACAGGTCTACTCAGATCCTTGCATCTGCTATATGCGTTCATTTATTTAGTGTCTGAATGCCTTCTGTGTGCCAGGCCCTATTTTAGGCACTTGGGGTTCACGGATGAATGAGATTACCAGTGTGCCCGCTCGCTGCCTTCTACTGGAGGAAGAAGGCAAATAAACAGGGGAGAGAAATATCAGATAGTGGTATTACAATAAGATGATGGGATTCAGAAGGATTAGGTTGATAGGTTGGACTGATAGGAAATTCTCTCTGGGGATATGATACCAAAGTGAAGATAGGAATGACACTGAGCAAACCATGTAAAATTTAGGTGTAGAATAGATCAGCCAGAGGAAGCAGCTGGTGCAAAGGCCCTGTGGTGTAAGAGTATGCTTGGAAGGTTGGAGGACCAGAAAGAAGGCTGGTGTGGCTGGAGTTGAGTAGGTGAGGGGAGGTGGGAAATGATAAGGTACCTGTAAGCAAAGCCTCTTGTTTCCATGGTAGACAGTGTGACCGATGGCCCCTGGAGTTGCATAGTGCTGTTGGCCATGAGGCCAAGTCACAGAGTGCTAGCTAAACTGGGTAAAGAGTCTGCATTTCATTTTATAGATAACAGGAAGCCACTGGGTTGGGGCGGGGGGCAGTCTTGAGCAAGAGAGAAACTTGATTTAACTGACAGTTAAAAAAATAATAAGTTATCTCCTCTCTGGAGAGTAAGACTATTAAGAGGCTTTTGTAGTCCTCCGGATGACAGTGGCTTGAACCAAGGGGTGGAGCTGACATGTTGATGGGCCACTTCAGGAGGTTGAGCCAAGGGGACCGAATAGATGGCCTGTCTGGAGTAAGGGAGAGGAATCCCAGATACTGCTGGGTTTCGGGCGTGAGCAGCGGTAAATGGCGCTATTTATTGAGACGAGGGAGCCTGAGAGAGGAACACGTGTGCACTGTGACTCTTCAGAAGAGGCTGTAGAAAGCATTCCTCCAGCTCAGCCACGGAACTTGTTTCATAGAGCATCTCACTGCATATACGATTCCAAGGAGCATGTGTTGAGAAACCCTGGGTTGTGTCACTAAGCTGTGCTAGCCTGAGGCACCCATTTCCATGGTGTTTGTTGTCTTAAAAGAACCAGATGTCCCAGTCAGGACGCCCATCTCCCAGTTAAAAAAAAAACAACAACAAAAAACCCTACTACTAATAAATGCTTTACCTAAAGAGCAGCCAAACTTACTTAAGACAGGTTTTTATATCCACTTATTCCAGAGTGATTCCTCCCATCCTGGCCCCCCGACTCTGCACTGTGGTGACACGGACTGGGCTTCAGAGTTGCTCGGTGTCCTCACTCCTTTGTCTGGCCCAGACTGGGTTACTTCTGCAGACAACTGTTTTCATCCATTATATACTGATACTTTATCATTTTACTTCCAAAGGACAATCTTATTCTCAAATTCTAGGGGTCTAACATCTCCTGCTTACACTCTGGCTGTAGATTTAAGACTGGTAATATGGCATCACTGGCTTAGTTCCACTGTGTTTCTATCCCAGATTCTGTCTCTGATAATCACGATCCCAAGGGTGATGGTGTGGGCCCTTGATCATCAGTGTCAAATGTTGATGGAAGCCCCAAACGCCAGGTTTGTTTTAGTCCTTTGTTAGAACTCTGCCAGATACAAATATGCCTAAACACTGCACCTCATGGGGTAGCAAATACTAAAACTTGGCAGCTTTTCCATGAAATTTGTTTAAGAAAGGACTCATGGAAACTGGCAAAGGAAATTCGAGATGCTGGCATGAGGGAATCAGAGCGACTCCTCGATGATGGCCAAATGCAGGCTCACGTTTACCTCCTCTCTTCTCGTTAATCTGCGTGAGGCCGAGAACTTGATCCACGTTCTACCTCATGAAATTCCTCACCAGTCCCAGAGTCCAGGAGAGGAGCATACTTCCCAAGACTCGCTTCCTTCTTCCTCTGTGTCTACCTTACGTATTATCAATATTTAGCCGTTTAGGAAAAATCCAGACAGTTGATTTTCTTTTTTTTTCCTGCCGTCTCTGCTGTCTCTTCCTTTACTTTCAGAGTCTAGTGACACCAACGTTGTTTTTCCCACCTCAGATCACTGCATTAGGGTTCCAGGGAACGTGTGTTGAGAAACACAGGTTGGTACAGGTTGAACCTGGTATACGGTGTGTGGATACAAGAAAGATAAATATTTCTCCTTTCACAAGACAGTAAATGAGCTTACCTTTTGATGAAGCCCAATCAAGATTCTCCATTACACCAACTTACGGTCCAAAATCTAGACTATAACAAGCTCATAAGACTTTAAATGAACATTTCTATATCACTGAGAGCAAATATTCCCAAGACCAGCAAAACTTGTACACATCTGTACCCTTGTTTTGGGTCAACATTTTATGACACGTTTTCCGAAAAGCACCCTGGTAAAAGAAGCATGTGAGATGGAAGCATCTAAATGCTCTGGGAAAGTTGTCAAGTTTGTTTACGTGTCCAAGATCCTGCGCTTCAGTGTTTTTTTTGCGGGAAGAAGGCGGCCTCATGTCACAGGTAGTAGAAAAGATACTTGGTCTTGAGAAAAACGAAAGAAAAAAAAAAAGAAATCAAATGTTCTTAGATAATCTTGATAGCAATTGCTTCACATTGGAATGTCACCAAATCAGAAAAGCCAGACTCAGAAGGAAGGCTGCCCATTACGGGAAAAGTGGGCAGAGGGCAACCCAGGCGCGTCCCCGTTGTCACGGACTCCCGTTAGTGATGTGCGTGTCTAATGTATCTTCTCTCCCCTCACTCATCTCTCCCACTTTTTTCTTTCCTGTCATGCAGTGCATCATCCAAGGACTCCTCTCAAAGCAAAATCATCCGCTTCACTCTGGGTCAGAAAAAGATCTCTAGGTTAGACTTTCTCTGTGTCCTGCAAAGCATGGTTTCAACCCAGCTTATTGATCGCTTTGTTCTGGCTAAGTTTCCTTTTGGTCCCTCTGCCCGTTTCATGTTTGCAGTTTGAGAAAACCAAACATGCTTTGGCTAATGACCCAATGTGGGAGAATTTGGAGAGTGCCTGTGGGGTCATTGAAAGGGGGAATGTGTGTGTCAGAGTGTGTGTGGCTGGCGTTAAGGTGTATATAAATGTTTCAAATCAATGCATTTCATTGATTTGGGCTTTCATTGCTTCGTATCAAAATCCTTTCTGATTTAGGGAGAGGTAAGTTTCTAGGTGGTTTTTGTGGTGGTTCTATGATGAGTTTGGCTCCCTGCTCTGGCCTGGCCCTGATCCCACGTCATCTGCACCTCCTTTATGTGTGTTGTGCTTTTTATCGTTGCTGTTATTGCTAAAATTACTAATGCGGGTTTGGTTTCTCTTGAGTTCTAAAGCACCCAAAGCATGAATCCAATTGGTCAGAGGAGACAAAACAGCAAGGTGGCTGTGTCTCCTTTTCGTTTCCGGATGCTCTTTGTACCTCGGAGAGATTGCCTCAGTTACCTAAAAATAAAAGTTAGTCTTGCTCACTAACTAATTCTCCTGACACAGAGTTTGACATTTACTGCATACTGTAAGGACCGATTCCAGGATATGGAAAATGCCAGTCACATCTTTGGGATCTACTCTTCTTTTAAAGGCAGCAAGAGCTGACATTTATTGAATGCTTGTTATGCATCAGTTTGAATGCCTTATCTTATTTAATCCTCACTTTAGTTTTCATGCGGCCACTAGTTATTATCCCCATTTTACAGATAAGAAAACTAAAGTCTAGGAAGTTAGTTAAGTTACTCAAGATGATACAGAAAGTGGAAAAGCCAGGATCTGAGCCCAGTTGACCTAACTCCAGAACCCTCACTTTAACCACTGTGTTTACACTCTTTCTCTCTTCCTCCCCCCTTGAATTCTGGTATTTATGGGGTTGTCAAGGCTGCTTTTAAAAAAATCTTACGTTTCAGCTGTTACTCTTGGCCTTTTGCCTCACTTTGCCCTTTGTAGCATCCTAATAGAACCTGATGCTGGTTCATGATTTTCATTGAATTCTCATTTAAAGCTAAAGGGATATCCACACTACACTTTTTTTCAATGTTTATATTTGAGAGAGACAGAGTGCAAGTGGGGGAGGGACAGGGAGAGAGGGAGACACAGAATCCTAAGCAGGCTCCAGGCTCCGAGCTGTCGGCACAGAGCCCGACGCGGGGCTCGGACCCACAGACCGCGAGATCGTGACCTGAGCTGAAGTTGGACGCTCAACCGACTGAGCCACCAGGCGCCCCCACGCCACACTACATTTCTATCTGTATTCGTGTAACAAATACATACTGAATGCCTGCTTGCTGCCCCACTCTGTCAAGTTCTCAGTGCCTTTTTCTAGCCAGAGTTTACTTTTTCTTTTCTAAAAAGTTATACATAGGGAGACCCAACTCAGGATCTGCCTGGCTGTTGGGGAGAAGCCACGGGGCCATTGCTTCTCTGTAGAACAAGTGCATATGTTACCCAGACTTGGTTCTGGGAGACAAGAGGGAACCGACGTTCATCAGTGCTTTTCATAATCATGTGCCTTTGTCAGTTTGGGCTGCTACAACAAATCACCATAAACTGGCTGACTTAAACTGTTTCCCTTATAGTTCGGGAGGCTAGGAAGTCCAAGATCAGGGTGCCCGCACAGTCAGATTGTAATGAGGGCCCTGTTCCTGGTTTCTAGATGGCCATGTTCTTGCTGTGTCCTCACACGGAGAGCAGAGAGAGAGGAAGAAAGCCCTCTCCATTCTCTTCTTACAAGGCACCGAGCCCATCATGAGGTCTTCAGCCACATGAAGTCCCTCCCATAAGCCCCATTTCCAGATACCATCACGTGGGGATTAGGGTGAGGACACCCGAATTTGGCCAGGGTGGGGCTGGAGGACTTAAACGTGCAGTTCATGACTCCATGCTAGAGTGCCTGCTTTCCCTGAAAAATCACACCAGGCCACCCTCAGACACCCCCTGCACTGGCAAACCGGGTTCCCAGTTTTTGAGCATCAACCTAAATAGAGACGTAAACTGAGGTGAGCTCAAATTACCAAACTCAAATCGAGTTTATTTGGGAATAGCAGAGGAATTGCAGTTTGGGAAATGCAGCCATAGCAAGAAACAGGTGAGTCTGTTGAGGGTTCGGGGTGTGCTGTATTGATGGGCCAGGAGTGCAAGAAGGGGAGATCTAGCCAGAGTCCAAGTGGTAAGTTCATTGGCTTGAGGATAGAGAGGGATTCTAGGCAGACATTCATTGGTCAGGAGATAGGTTTCTGTCTTCTGTAAGTCAGGCGTTTATGGGAAATGCGATTTGCAGTTTTTAAACTTGGGTCTTCTGAGGGCACCTGTGTGGGATTCTCCATTTCCCATTCTCCAGTTCCATTGCAAATTGAAATCCTTTCACAGATAAAAGGAAAGGAAGTTAAGTGGGCTTGGAGGGAACCTGAAGTCTGGTGTTTGTTCCCACGATGTACTCAGTTCTAGAAGATAAGCAGGAGCTGGCTGGGAAAATATTTAATTGGAAGCACATGCCCATCCCGAGTGTGAGTGGTTATCAGTCCCAGATGATGGAAGGAGGCAGTGGGAAGAGCGGAAGAACCGAAGGAAGAGGCCGTGTCTGCCCCTGACCCCAGGGTGTGCTGGGCACAGGGCTTCCAAGTTGACTGAAAGCCAAGGTCTGGCTTTCTTTCAGGGTCACATCCCTCACCTAGAGTTTCTTTTGGATGCATCTTTGTCTCTGATGAGGCCAGTGAAAGGATGTTCTTTCATTATTTGCCTAATACTCCTCCTTGCCTTCCCTAACCCCCCTCCATTTCCCATCCCCAGCCTTGAGCACAATTCTGATAAGCGTTTTAGCTGATCCGGACATCACCAAACGTAGCTGCAAAATTAGTTGTCAAAAGAAACCACCTTACCCCTGCTGGCTAAGCAAGACAACTCTCCCAGAGCTTTGGAAATAGAGTTCAAGTGCAAACTTTGAACACCTGCCAGAGTCAAACACCTTGGACAAGTACCAGGGATATTGAACAGGGTAGGAAGCCTCTCCATTGAATCTGGATGCTAATAGAGGGAATCCATACAGGGATGAAGGATTTTCATGAATTTCTGCCTTCGACTACAATTATCGTCCTTTGGCAACCCTGGTGAGCCCTGGGTTTGCAGATGTGTTCTATCTGTGGAGGTAGAGAGGTACGTGGCTGGGAGTGCAGCTAGTCAAACCTAGTGAAAGCCCATCTTCATCACTTACCACGTATCCTGGGCAAATTCTTTATTCTGCAGGAGCCTGTGTTTGCTTACCAGCAAAACGGGGTAGTGCTGCCTCACTCATGATACATGGGTTAAATGAAGTCATTTCCAGTCCTTTGATAGATATCTGGTCTATACACTGTAACTAGCAGATACAGTGAGGTTGGTGTTTGGGGTTGATCTGGGCCAGGGAGGGCCACCAGACCACCTGTCTCCAGCAAAACCCCACAGAGTTGATCACATGACCATCTCGTGGAGAGGAAGCAGTGGGACTGATACTTCTGTCCTCTTTGTCCAGCTGCTGAAAAGCAGAGGCCATGGAGATGAGAGATTCAACATTTAATAACCTCCTCTGGCAGAAAGCATCTCCCATCACAATGCCTGCCACCTGAGGTCCCAAGCATGTGCACACAAGCTGCCATTCCCCCTGGGAGGGCCATCTTCTCTCGGCCTTTGAAGTGGTTTTGCAGGGGAAAAACAGCTTTCCTCCCATCAGCACACACAGCGCGCGGAGCCGGGATGTACTCCGAGGTCATGTGCCGAGAATGACAATTTACCACCCTGCCTGCTCGGCTCTGCACACGTTGGAGAAATTGACCACGGCTTCAATAGCAGCAGGATTTCTCTTCTGCCTCTTTTTTATGCCACTTCCCTTAAACTTACTCTTTTGATACGACATGTGTATGTTTCAGAGAACCCATCTGTGTCCTCTGTCATTTCGTAACTACGTTTGGAACAGGGAACGGTCTTGAGAAGTGGAGTTGTGCTTGCCCAGGAGCCTTGGAACTCTTTTGGCACCATAACTGACACAGGTTGACCTGATGTGCTCCCCTCTCCCTGCTTTTCTTCACTGAGGCAGGTACCTTGGGCAGCGTCTGTTTTACCCATGGCTGTTCCACATGAGCGAGACCCACCTCTTCTGCAGAGGATCCTAAAGTACAGACAGCAGCTGTTTCCAGGCTGGGACTTGATAGAAGTTCCTGTGATGCATCAGGATGTTAACAGTTATGAACTGGAGAACGTGAGCTGGAGAGCCTGAGGTCTGCGTTACCGTGAACTAGAAGATACTGCTCCCGGCCTCCCTAATTTATGACTCATTTGCTGGAGAGCAGGAAAAAGTCCAGATTCATACTGCAACATACAAGGGCCTCTCTATTCTGGCCCTGCCTGCTTCTCCAGCCTCCTTTCCTCCCAGTCTGTCCCCCCACTCCCCAGCACACACCAGACCCTCCTTCCTCTGCACTTTTTTTTATAGGCTTCCCTCTGCCGGAGACCTCTGCCTCTCTCCATGACTCCGTACCTTCTTGTTCTCCACTCACATTTCCATTCCACATGCCACCTTGCTCTGGGGTCACGTCTATCTGGAACCTTCCCTGACCATCCCACCAACCTCCAAGGTTATCATTTTCCTTCTTTGAATTACTTCCGACCTTTGCATATTCTTTTATCAATACATGGGTAATTTAGATGTTTTCTAGGATCAATCAGCCTTACCCTAAGATCTAGATGAGATCGAACTAGAACCCTGTCTTTGTCTGTTTGGGCTGCCAAATGAAATACCACAGACTCAGTGGCTGATACACAACAGAAATTTGTCACTCACGTTTCTGGAAGCTGGAAGTCCAAGATCAGGATGCCAGCCTTGCCAGGTTCTGGTGAGTGCTGACTTCCAGGTTGCAGACTGTTGACTTCTCACTCCATCCCTACCTGGGGCCAGCCAGCATTCCGGACTGTCTTTTATAAGGTCATTAATTTCATTCATGAGGGCTCTGTGTAATGACCTGATCACCTCCCAAAGTCCCCCACGTCCTAACACCACCACACTAGACATTAGGATTTCAACATCTGAATGTGAAGGGGGGCATAAACATTCACACCGTGGAAAACTCTTCTTCAACCTGCAGAAAGTCATGGCCCAGTGATTGCTCATGTACCTTAGGTCCTCAAGGTCAGCATTGTCTTTGAAGTGAAACATTTGAAATCCTATACTTGTAATTCAGCCTGAATCAATTTGGTAGATTGACTCACAATCAAAGAATATTTTGGTTCCCTCATGGGTGGATCCAAAGAAGCCTTTTTTCTTACTTCCTACCCACCACACATTCATGGCCTTTGTGTCTCAGGCAGACTTTGTTGAAAATTTCAGAGGGATGGAGGAGGCTTGCTTTGGAGCAAGCAACTACTCAAGCCCATTCACAACTCACATTGTAAAGCATTGTGTTGTCATAGACACCCACTGAAACTTGGAAGAAATTACTTGGTCTCCACCCTGTCTTCCCATTTGGTCAAGTTCAGGTTGCTGAGCTGACTACAGTGTAAAAGTGATGGGGGTAGAAGATGACATGAGTTGGCTTGAACTTTGTGGTGGCCCTTGCTAAGTATGTGCCAACCATTCTTTTCCTTGTCAGCTGCCCTCAAAGCCTTCAAGAAGTCCTTCTTGAAGTCCTGGAAAACTTGGTTCAACCCTGTAGCCGCTTGATGGCTATGCCACTCTCATCCAAGGTGTACCTCTAGGTCCTGACCCAGTGAAGGGAATCTGATGATGACGACCCAGGAGAGACCAGAACTAGCTTATTGATCCAAGACCAGGAATGTTTCACTGTGGGGAATGGGGCCTACAGATGGCTCGGAGATGCCCTAAGTAGAAGGTCTTAGTCATAGATCTTCCTCTTCTGGAATGTTCCTCCATAGAGCAGTTCCTCTTCTGGAATGTTTCTTGGGGAAATAAGTACCATCTGCCAAAGCCTGGCTTACCTCCTTGAAAATGTAGATCTCTGTCTTGTGTGTGTTGATTTTTATCTGCTTTCTTCTGATACTTTCATCTAGATCCATCAATTTCCTTCATTATTTTGTCTGATTCTTTTTTGTACCAAAGTGTGTTTCCTTTATGACAATGCCCAACTCATTTATAAGTTTATGCTCAACAGAGAGGATGAGAAGGGGAAACGAACATGAATTGAATACTCACAACAGGCCCGACATTAAGCCCCATTTCAAACGAACAACTATCCCATTGGCTAGTTTATTATTCCAAAGTTACCTGATCTGGAACATGAATCTTGGAGAAATTATAAGACTGGTCCAGTGTTCTATGTGTGGAAAAAGTCCTTATTTTATCCATTACTACATGCTGCCTCACAGAGGACCAGATTGCCTACCCAATTCAAGGTTGTACCCATCCCACCCTATGCTTTGATCGATCTTATTTCCATAGAGGCCCTGGAGAGCCCTGAGTTGGGGCAGTGGGAGCTCTGCAGCAACTCCAAAAGGAAGCCTGTTTTCCCTTCTTGTTGCTTTTTGCTTACCTACTTCTTGCAAATCGCCTACTGAAGTAGAATGCTGTGGCCTATTACCCTGTACCACATAATACTATTGCTATGACATCATCTTGAAAGAAGTCTATAATTCTTTCCCAGGCCTGTCTGTGGGCATTAAGGCTCTGCAGACTATAGCTGGGTTAAAGGAGTCCAGCCCAGAGGACCCCATGTCTGTATCTGCAGAAGCTCTGCCATTGGCTCTGAGTACTCAGCTAACACTGACCTGGAGGGCTCTCGGGATGCCATTTGTATTAAAGGCAGAACCAAGAGGTACCAAAATCCCCTTGCTGGGCCTCCTTGTTCAGTTGTGCTGGCCACATCTGGACCCAAGTATAGATGCTGGCTTTATACCCCACTCTTTGCCTGTCTATGTGGGGTGAATCTTTTCTCCAAAACAAGATGGGGTAAAAGGGGCAAATCGTCCTAGTGCAGTGGAAAGTGCACTTCCCTCTGCCTCTTGTTAGGGGAGAGAACTCAGCCCCTTCCTTCCCTCCTAGCTCCCCATCAGGGAATTGGGCCACCTTCCTAACTGTATAAATTTTACAGTCTTCTCTCACCAGCTCATGTTCTCTGTTTATTCTACAACCATCTTTCTTGCTCAGCCAGCAAGAAAAAAGTTTAAAGTGATCGCCGGCTTATATCTAAAATGCTTCCAGACTGCAGACTTCTTTGGCGCTTACAGATTTGCAATGGGGAGAGAAAGTTGAAAGCTTTATGGGTTGAAAATTCAGACTTCTCACTAGATCTTTTGCTAGTCAGCGGAGGTTCCAGTGGCTTTTAAACAGCTAAGTGGGTTTTAGCTGAAAGATATAACTAAAGATTTCATTATTTGTTTCTTTTTCCGTTTTTAACGATTAGAAACAGCCTGCTTAGTACTCTCTGACCCAAAATTCTGAGGGAGTCTTACCCTTAACTCTTTGGGGAGGAGGCCGTAAGATCTGTAGACCTATTACAAAAATGTCCACTAACTTTATTTCCCAAACCACTCTAAATGAGGTACTTTACTTAAGAGAAGGTGTATGTTTGTCCTTAGGTTAATAGATTCCTGCTTATTCTACAGAAAGAACGTATGATTTTTTTCTGTCTGCTATGCAGAGAAGCTGGGCTTCAGCCTCTAAATAATACCTACAGGGACATGTTGTCAGGTGTTGAGGGAGAATGTATGTCTGAACACATGTTTTCATCCAGGCCGTAAGTTTTCTCGTTGCAGTTGTATTGGGTCCTGAGTGCTAACGGTTCTCTATTATAAATTACGTCATTTTCTTGATACTGCAACCCTGGATTATGACATTAATATGGATTATGGCCATATTAATACCTACTAGAAGAGATGCGCACAGAAGGTAAAAAGTTTAAAGTCTTAATAGGCCCTTATGTTCCACACTTGATAGAATTAGAGTTGACATGGTTTGGCCCTATTGAAAAATAAATTACTCATTCAAGAGAAAAAGGAAGATAAAGTTCATATTTTTATTTTCAACGTTTATTTATTTTTTGGGACAGAGAGAGACAGAGCATGAATGGGGGAGGGGCAGAGAGAGAGGGAGACACAGAATCGGAAACAGGCTCCAGGCTCCGAGCCATCAGCCCAGAGCCTGACGCGGGGCTCGAACTCACGGACCGTGAGATCGTGACCTGGCTGAAGTCAGACGCTTAACCGACTGCGCCACCCAGGCGCCCCTAAAGTTCATATTTTTTAATCAGCAAACATATTCATTTACTTTTCCTTCAGAATTTCTCTTTGCTCAAAGGAAAACTCGTGTTTTGCTGTTGGACTTTGCTGGGGTCATTGGTAGCCTAGATGTTTGTGGTAGTTCCATTGAATTTTTTGACTGGCAAATCTCCACAGACCCAATGTCTTGAATGGTTTCCTCTACCTCCTGCATGGTTGCAGTTCCTTCTTCTGAGACACTGCCGTTCTCCTGAGACTGAATCCATTTTCCTGTCGCTTTTGCATTTTAGGCTTCCAGGTCCTACTGCAAGGGTATCCACTGCAGGCAGTGAAGCCAAAACACGTGGAGGGTCAGCCACTGCCAACAACCGACGCAGCCAGAGCTTTAACAACTATGACAAGTCCAAACCGGTCACCTCCCCACTTCCACCACCACCGCCAAGCAGCCACGAGAAAGGTAAGTCAACTTCTTGAGGGTCCTTTCTGGCATTTTCCTGTATACAGATCCGGTTCCTTTGGGTGAGTTTGCTAGGGTTGGGAACAAGGTTGCACATAGCATGGGCCATAGGACATACTTGGCCGGCAGGAACTTTGTTAGCAGAGGCATTAATAAAGTGGTGGAAATAGGTTCATGGTTGCCAGCAGGAATTAGGAGTATTTGTTTCAGTAGGGGCCCGGAAGACACCTGGCTACAGAGAGAAGCAATATAGTATTTACAACTTGAAAGTAAACTGTCACAGAACGTGCTCTGTATGGTAGATGGTTTTCCAGAAATGCAAGGTTCTCGGAGTGTGCGTTTTGTGACCTGATAAGCTTTCTACCCATTAAAAGTGATATGAGGGAAGTTAAGAGCAAGGGAATTTTCACCCTTTGAAAAAGGCAGAAATGTGGGTTGTGTAAATGAATATCTTGGCTACATATGAGGAATATGCAACATTATTCTTAGTGTTCCGATGATGTAACTTTTACCAAAAGAGGATATGACTTTTTGCTCTACATAGCCCTGAGATCTTAGGATGGGGGAAGAGGTGAGTAGCTGTGTGGGGGCTATTGCACAGAAGATGGTGAAACAAACATTTGCTTGCTTCGGTCTGTGTCTCGTGAGACCTTGGAGAAACTGAGCTTAGAAGATTGTACAGTCAGAAGCAGAGCCCTCCTTCATTCCTCCCAGGCTAAGTGGTCTAGACTTCTTGGTGGGGGTGATGTGCCCAGATCTCTTGGAAGCATTTTCTACAGTAAGAGTTGTCCTAGATGTGCCCCTCAACTCCCCCGAGACTCAGGAGAGCTGCCTCCCACTCTGAAAGTGTTCCAGGAGCCTGGGCAGCCTTCCCACTGTGAACGAGATCCGAGGCTCCTGGACCTACCCTCTAGCCCGGGATGGTTTCATTTAGTGGAGCTTGGTTTCTGCCCTACCCTCAGCTAGCATACTTGAGAAAATAGGAAGGGAGGTTTGGTATGGCTGACCTATATATGGCAGAAAGTTTTGCACCAGGGCATTGGAAACTCTGCAGCCAGCAGTGGGAGGTCTCAACCAGTCAAGTTCTTTGTGATCCAGCCCTTGGCTCCTGCCTTAAGAAAGTCATTTGTCGTCTTCTTCCCTCTTTCCACCCCCTTCCCCTCCCCTCCTTTTCTCCGCTTCAACCATAGCCAAACATGTTCCTTTCAAAAGTATGGTCTTCTTAAAAGTGTTTTTAAGAGGCACCTGGGTGGCTCAGTAGGTTGAGTGTCAGACTCTTGATTTTGGCTCAGGTCATGATCCCAGGGTTGTGGGATCGAGCCCCACGTCGGGCTCTGCACTGAGTATGGAGCCTGCTAAAAATTCTGTTTCTCTCTCTGCCCGTCGTCTCCCCTCGCATGCGTGCGTGTGCGCGCGCTCTCTCTCTCTCTCTAAATAAAAAAATAAATAAAAATAAGTGTCATCTGTCAGGGACTTTGATTTTCACTGTGTTACTTGGTCTTCACAAACATTCTGTGTGGTAAATATCATTAACCCAATTTTACAGATAAAAGAACTGAGGCTAATTGAGATTTAGTAACTTGCCCTCTTTGGTAATTGAGCACTGGAATTCGGATCAAGGTTTGAGTCCTGGGTTTGAGCTCGAGCTCTGTCCTGTCTCCTGGGAGGATCGAGCGAGGTAGTAAGTGTGAGAATATCTTGTGAGCTGGGACTCACAGAATTCCCTAAGGATTCCCTCCCAGAATGGTAAAAATAACTGACCGGGGCTCCAGGTGCATGGGAGAGTACATTTATGATCCCTCGCCTAGCCTGGAGAGGTTAGGTCAAGCAGGCTTCGGCAGACCCGGGTAGTTTTTATTCTAATACTTTCCCCACCATCCTGAGGTAAAGGGACAGCACAATTGTATCTAAAGAGGCTTTTGTATTTCCTCCTCCTTTCTCACAGTCCCTGTGTCCTCTATTGAATCTGACCTTGATGGCAGCCTATGAAGTAGCCAGCTCCATGCAGCATGGACCATGTGGTGGGAGAAGTGGCTCCCCCACCTGGCCATCGGGAGGCACAGCAGGTTTTCGGGTGCTCAGAGTAGCATCCCTCATCTTGACAGGTCCTGGAGAGGTGGACATTAGTGAGCAGATACGTTGTAGCTCAGTGTGGTGGGCGCTGTAGTTGAGGTATGGACTGCTTTCAGATGAGTTAAAGTCCACAATATAATCTCATGACCTGTCCTTCTCGAAGCTGTCTTATGAGTCGGACAGGCCCTGATCGCATTGCATGCTGGCATTTTCTCTCAGGTAAACCAATTTGTAGGCTTGTACATGTGACCCATTGGACCAGGGATTCTTCTAGGAGTTGATCGGATCTCACCAGAAAGGGGAACAAGAAATTCACTACTCTTCCAACATATGACAAAAATATTTCAACACTTAGTCTTGATTTTTTAAAAGGATAAAAAGGAATAAAAGGAAATTATAACAGGCAGCTTTTCCAAAGCCCCGGAGCACTTAATCCTTTGTGAGGAAATAACTGAAAGATTTCTCCGAAAATCACGTCCAAAGAAGCGAATGCCTTCCTGCCATCATCACTGAATTTAGTTCTGGTCAACTGAGATGTGAAACAGAAGAAGAGTAATAGATCTAGAAAATACTTATATTTTCAGTATTCAACTGAGCAATCAACTGAGATGTGAAACAGAAGAAGAATAGATACATAAAATACTTCACAGTGGGGAAAAAGTCTAGGGACACACACACGCACACACACACTGTATTGGCTTAGTCCACGAGGTGACCAAGTGCACAGTTGGTGTGTAAATCCCAGGAATTTGTGAGGTTTGGAGGAAAGTCTACAAATCCTTAGCCTGTAGGAAAAGCTGCTAGTTGGGCAGTTTTCACTAGCGTGGTTAGGTTCGTCTTTGGCTTCCCCCACTCACTCCTGCAGGGGGCAGCAGTGAGGCAACTTGCCCGGCCCGAGGGATGCTGTGAGCAGGTTCCCCTGCGGATCTGTTGGGGGATGGCCTGGAATACGGTGGCTCCTCGCTTCCTCCCTTGGCCCTATGGCTCCAGACCAGAATCACAGCTTTTCAGGAAGAGGAAAGAGCTGTCATTTTCAACATTGGTGACATTATCTTTTCTTTCCATCCCCTCACTTACATCCTCTGGATGGGTTAGCACTGCCAGAAATCAAATACATTTCTAAAGTATTTGGTCCATCCTATGAATTTGAAATATTTACTATTCCTAAACTAAAGTCTGTGCAAATGGAAGATGGTCTCTCCTGAATAATATGGTTTTCTTCATTTTAGAGAAAGTGTATGTTTATTATATTTTCGTGATAAAAATCGTTATGTAAAAAATTTTTAAACAGCATAAATTTATTGAAAGAGAACCCTGCATAACCCCTGCTCTCAGAATTAGCCCCTGTTTATCACTTATATTCTTCTGTATTTTCTTTATGCGTATACTATCACATTTTGATAAATTTTTCCTACTGTTTAATATTTGCCAAGTACTGTTCTAAGGGCTTTGTAAGTAATAATTTAATTGTTACAGGAACTCTGTACACAGACACTCTGACATACACAGACACTATGACTTAAAATCTTGTAAATAAAATCAACCAATCATGGACAACCTTTTTATAGTTTATTCTCTCTTTATAATAGTTGCATAGGACTCCATCGCATAAATTCACCTTAATATTCCTAACTACTTTCATTTTGGTTGCTTCCAATTCTTTTTTTTTTTTTTAATTTAAAAAAACTTTTTAATGTTTGTTTATTCTTAGAGCATGGGCAGGGGAGGCGCAGAGAGAGGGAGATACAGAATCAGAAGTAGGCTCCAGGCTCTGAGCTGTCAGCACAGAGCCCGACGCAGGGCTCGAACTCACGAACTGTGAGATCATGACCTGAGCTAAAGTTAGATGCTTACCCGGCTGAGCCACCCCTAATTCTTTGATATTATAAATAGTACTGAAATTTACATCCTCATGTCTTTTTTGCACGTGTATACCATTTCATTTAAGGGTATACACATTTTGCAGGTGTTTTAACGTTGCCAGATTTTGCTTCCAAAAGGTTATACCTACGTCTGTTCCCATCAGCAACGTGTGAGAGGTCAGTTTCCTTACGCACTTGTTTTCACTCTCTTGGACAAAAAATACTGCCTTTGAAATGAGGCGGGTTACAGTAAGCTGAAATAACAAGATCCTTTGCTAACAACTGGCCCTTTTAACTGCCACCCTGCTATGAGTTATGACTAGTGACATGGACAGACTTTGGCATGTACAGAAAGCACTTGGGTTTGAGATCAAGCTGTCTGCCAACCAGTGTGGCCTCACTCAAGATGCTTAATTTCTCAGGGCGCCTGGGTGGCTCAATCGGTTGGGCATCCGACTTCCGCTCAGGCCATGATCTCACCGTCTGTGGGTTCAAGCCCCTCATCGGGCTCTGTGCTGACAGCTCGGAGCCTGGAGCCTGATTCGGATTCTATGTCTCCCTCTCTCTCTCTGACCCTCCCCGCCCGAGCTCTGTCTCTGTCTCAAAAATAAATAAACATTAAAAAAAAAAGCTTAATTTCTCTGGGCCTCGGTTTCCCCTTCTGTAAAGTGAGTCTGAGGTCATCCGTCCCTAAGCCACTGTGAGGTATGAATGCTTGTTTTCCCTGGCCCCTTGGCCTTGTCTAATGGGAGCCCTCTAAGTGCTTTCGCGTAGGTTCCCTCCCCTGGTCTTCATCCTATGTCATTTTCTCCCTCTTGTTCACTCTCTCTTGTCATGGGTAGAAAAGAAGAGCCAGACAGGGGTGGAGACAGAGTTTTATAGCCTTCAGCACTATGTCTTGTCTGAGTAACACTGGAGCCATTGATTTAGAATCTCTGTAAACTTGTCACTTTATGGTTGGCAAAGTAAGTTATTTATCTGAGTTAATGATTGGGAGAGAGAACTGTGAAGAAGTTGCCCATGGCCTGCCATCAACCAGGATTCTGGCGTAAAATTACAGGTTAC